GGGTGGGGCTGGGACTCGCCCATGATGGCTGGACACACCCCTGCAGCCTGGCACCTCGTTTTAGGATTGGATTTGTTCTTCCAAGGTTGTCCCCAAGGGTAGTGGGTTGGAGGGGCGAGGGTGGAAGCTGGAAGGACCATAAGTCCTGACTGCAGGGAGAAGGGACAAAGGTTCCCAGCACCGCCCGGAGTCCACTAGGCTGTAAGTGGCGCTGGGCCGGGGGGCCATATCCACAGCTCCTCCACGGCCACCAGCGCCCAGGCCCCAAGTGCTCTGCCTCCCCTCCCCTCCTTGGGACTCTGCTTTTGTTTCGGCTTCTGTAAGCATCGCTCCCTGTGCCTCAGACACTTGCAGTGAAGCAGGAACTGGGAATCCGCGCTTCTGCGCCCTCCTCCCACACCCCGCCCTGGGCTGGCAGCCTGACACTGCCACACCGGCCTGGCTCACCTCTGTCCCGTGACAGACCTCGGGCGCCCCTCCCGAAACCCCTGCCAGCCTCTGTGGAAAAGATTCACGTCCTCCAGTAGATCCTATGGGCCTGTCCCCTTGACCCCCGCACCTGTGTCCCAGGGCGCCCCATCTGAGTAAAAGACCCCTGAAGGGTATGGGTGGCCTCAGGGAGGCCATGGCAGGCCCCGGGGAGGACCCTTGGGGGAGGGCTGGCCCCACCTCCTCTGGCCTGGTGGCCGCCCCAGCACTCTGGACTGAAAGGATCAGTGTCCAGCCCAGGTCCAAGGCCGGCTAGCAGGGGCTTTCCAAGTTGCCCTTGCCTGCCTGTGGCCCCACCCCCAACCCAGGTGTCCCCTCCAGGCCTGCCTGAGCCCCGCCCCCACCCCCAGGTGTCCCCTCCAGGCCTGCCTGAGCCCCGCCCCCACCCCCAGGTGTCCCCTCCAGGCCTAACCAAAACCCCACCCCAACCCAAAGAAGCCACTCCAAGCAACACTAAAACCCACCCCACCCCCAGGTGTGCCCTCCAGGCCTGCCTGAGCCCCGCCCCCACCCCCAGGTGTCCCCTCCAGGCCTGCCTGAGCCCCGCCCCCACCCCCAGGTGTCCCCTCCAGGCCTGCCTGAGCCCCGCCCCCACCCCTGGGTGTCCCCTCCAGGCCTGCCTGAGCCCCACCCCCACCCTGGGTGTCCCCTCCAGGCCTGCCTGAGCCCCACCCCACCCCTGGGTGTGCCCTCCAGGCCTGCCTGAGCCCCACCCCCACCCCAGGTGTCCTCTCCAGGCCTGCCTGAGCCCCAACTCCATCCCCAGGCATCCCCTCCAGGCCTGCCTGGACCCTATGGCCCCTGTAGGTGCCACCTGCCTGGAAGAAGGGATTGAGGAATCCAAGGCTCAATCCATAGAGGCCCCTGCCCACAGGGAAACTGAGACACAGAACTATGCCACCCGTCCACCCCAGGCCAGCCACCCTCACCTCCAGCCTCTCTCAGCCCTGCCCAGCCTTCAGCAGGGCTCTGTCCCCGATGACAGCTGGGCTTCTCCAGGGAGACCCTGAGGACCTGCACCTTCCCGCTGGCTCTCTGCCTGGCCCTCCCTCCCGGCCCGGCCCCAAAACTGCACCTACCAGGGCACCAATGCCTGCTCCTCGCAAGTGGCTTACCACCAGCCCAGCCTCCACAGGCCCCTGCTCTCTCAGGACACAGCCCCTCCTCCCAAGCTGGGGCTCCTGGACCCCAGCTCTGACTGCCTTCCTGCCATGCCCCTCCCAGGAACAGGTCCATGCTCACAGCCTGGGGACCCACAGACCCAAGTCTGTGTCTCCCAACCCTCAATCCATCATCCAGCTGCCCACTGGGCACTCTCAGCAGGTGCTCCTGAGACAGGCCACACTGGTCCGGGCCACACGGAGCCAGCGGCCTGCCTTCTACCCACTGCCCTGCTGTCCACACCTGGGCTGGGACTCACCCCCACTGCCTGCTGCCACCCAGTGCCCACTGCCACCCAACGCCCACTGCCGCCCCAACGCCCACTGATGCCCCAACCCCCACTGCCGCCCCAGCGCCTACTGCTGCCCCAGTGCCCATTGCCACCCCAATGCCCACTGCCACCCAGCATACACTGTCACCCCAACACCCACTTTCACCCCATTCCCCACAGTCCCCGCTGGCAGTGGGCCCCCCACCCTCCCCATCTAGCCAGACTCTGGTTGTCATTTCTGCGCCCACCCGGACTCCCATCTCCCTGTCCCTGAGCTGAGGGACTGGCTCCAGGTGCCTACCTGAGTGTGCTGTCGCAGGTCCAGGGGGTAAGGCAGCTGCTCCCTAGACCAAAGAGAACCCAGGTCAGTGCACCCTTCCGGCTTCCCTTCGTCCTGTGCCCGGGGCCTCTGAGAACAAGGACGCTACCCCGACAGTGACACAGGCTGGGGGACCTGGGCCACCTGCAGGGAGTCTACCCGCCATCTCTGATGCCTTCTCTCCAGGGCCCTTTGCCCCACAGGCCCCAGATACCTGGGCCGCCCACCCACCCGGACCTCTCAGTCTGGTGGCAGCCCCCATAACCAGCCACAGAAGAGCTGGAGACCTCGTCATCTGGGGATGGGGCGGTTCCCAGCCCCTGGCCCCGTCCAGCTCCGCCTGTATTGCTGCTAGAGCTTTATGGGAGGAGGACCACACCCCGAGAGAGTGCCTGGGCGCCGACCTCAGAGCTGAGCGGCTGCTCCGAGCGTGGCCTCCATTTCTTTCCCGACCTTCAGGGTGTGGGCCCTGCTCTCAGCAGCTGGCGGGGAGGGCTCCGCGGGGGTGCCCCTGGAAAGCGCCCCATTGAGAGGCCCCAGGTGAGATGAGCACAGTTCCCTGACACTGCAGGTGACCTGCCTGCTCCTGGGCCTCTGAAGTGGGCCGTGCCTAACTGGAGGTGCCCTGAGTCCCTGGAGGAGCCTGGGGTGGGCTCTGAAGGTCACTTGGAGGGACGGTGGCCCGTGGCTGAGCACAGAGGTTTCCTGCCCTCCTCCAGCCCGGACAAGCAGAAGCGGGGCCAGCCCAAGAGAAGGCCCCACATGGGCCCCAGCAGCGGGTGGCCAGAAAGAGGCCACAGCACCCTCCTGTTGTGAGGGCCTTGTGTGGGCGGGGGCTGGGAGGCTGGAAGTCGGGGCTCGGTGCTAAGTTCTGCTCCAGGCCAGACTTGAGGGTGGACAGTCACAGGACTGGGACCCTCACACAGGGCGCCCGGAGCAAACTGGGCTTATCCAGACTCTGAGAGCCTTTGACAAAGGCCAGCACCCCTGCACTCATCACACACAGGCCTGAAGGCGCCGGTCCCCGGATGCCCTGGGAGGGCCAGGCCTGCAGGCATAGGTGGTGCAGAGCCCGAAGCAGCGAAGGTCCGCCCTGTCCCTACCTGGCCAGGCCCAGAGGCTCCTGGGTGGCGAGAGAACAGAGCCAGTGTCTGCCCCATCTGGTTGCCCCTGGGCTGAGGAGAAACCCCCACTCCACTGGCCATCCACTGGGAGAGGGGTACGGAGGCTGGAGACCCCGGGCCACACACTGCAGCAGGCGGTGAGCAGAACCTTCAGACGCCTGGAGCGGGGCCTGCGCTCCGGCACGGTGGGGAGAGGCAAACGCTGCAGCCACGTTCCCATAAGGAAGGGCTGTCCAGCGACCTGGACCCACCAGGCAAGAGACCCCCATGACCCCACACTACCCCCCAGGCCACCGTGGGGTGCCTCAGTCGGCTCTTATCAGAGGGACTCTGTCCCCTGAGCCTTGGGTAGGGGACCCATGGGAACACAGAGGGCTGAGCTCAGATGATGAGGACTCTGGCAGGAGGGCCCGGCTCCCCAGCATGGAAGCCACAGCCTCTCATCCTGCAACAAGGCTGGCATGGCCACTGCCAGAGGTGACAGCAGCTGGGGCCACAGTAAGGGCAGCTATTGAGCCCCTGCAACGTGACCTCATCAGACCCTCATCAGTGAGGCAGGGTCTGTCACCCTGTTTGCAAGAGGAAACTGAGGCTCAGAGAGGCGCTGGACTGGCTAGGGGCACCCAGCCAGCAGATGTGGCCCAAACTCAGTCCCCAAAGTCCACACTTGCCACCAGGCATCACTGCAGAAGCTCCTTCAGGACTCCCCATGCGGAGTCACCCCCAAACAGGGTGGCAGGCAAGGGGACAGACAGGTGCCCCCACAGGATGTGCAGGGGTAACCGAGACCAGCCTGGAACTTGGCCCCATATGGGGAGACAGGCAGGGCAGGGGCCCCAGGCTCAGAGCCAGTCCCCTCCTGGCCTCAGGTTGGAGGGTCTGCTCTCACCTGGACCCGAGGAGCCCCGTGCCTGAGCCCAACGGACTACTCAGACCCCATTGTGGTCTCCAGGACACACCCAGGAATGTGCCACACGTGCGTGCACACATACATACGCAGGTAAGCACAGACACACACATACATACGCAGGCAAGCACAGACACACGCATGCACACACGCGCGCACACACACGTGCACGAACACGCACACATGCACGGGTGCATGCGCACACACACACGCGCGCGCATATGCACATCCCAGCCCGAGGGCTGCCCGGCGCTGCCTCTCTGCACGCCACAGCATTCAGGCCCAAGGCTGACGAGACAGACAAGGCTGCTCAAGCTCCTGAGACGGCCGAGGAGGCCGGGCTTGGGGACTTCGGATCCAGGCAGAGGCCCAGTGTGGAGGCCGGCGAGGGGCAGAGGGCCGGGCAACGGACGAGGACAAGGTGGTAAGAAAAGAACACTTTATTTCCAGTCTGAGAATGTCTTATAAAAAGTGTCGGAGTGAGAAATGGCTGACAGCAAGGGACAGAGCCAGGTGTTCCCAGGGCGCAGCTGGGCGGTGGTCAGGGCCGGCTCCGGGCTGGGTGGGACAAAGCCACCCAGGGTGTGCACAGCGGGCCAGATACCGCCCTGCCTCCGACGCAGGGGAGCCGAGCTGCTGACACCAAGGGGCACTGAGCCCTGGGCCAGGGCAAGCACAGGCAGAGCCCGGAGCCTCCTGATGCCAAGCCTGCTGTGGGCCCCACAAGGAGGCTCCCACCAGAGGCCTGGGGCACATGGCCCCTCCCCGCAGGGTCAGCGGGTGAGGCTGCTCTGAGGACACCGCCTGCCCCCCAGGGCCTTCCTGCAAGGGCTTCATCAGGGAGCAACGGGCCCCAGACCCCAGAACCTCACGAGTCACGCAGCCTCCTGAGCTTCAGTTTCCTCCCATAGACGGGGATGAGGCCCGGCGCACAGAGCAGGGACTGGGCTGGTAGAGCCTGGGTGTGGGTGGCTTGGTGCTTAGCAGGTGGTGTGACTGCACGGGAGAGGTGAGGAGGAGAACCGGCCACCCATGAAGGGGGCGTGAGGCCCGAGAGGACAAGGCAAGGCCGGCAGCGGGGCCTCCAGCCCTTGGCACCGCAGTGTGAGCACAAGCCACAGAGATGCAGCACCTGCTAGAGCCCCCAGAGCCTGGTCCTCAGGACTGGGAGACACGGAGGGAAACGCTGGGCCTCAGGGCTCTGCCGATCCCGACCTGCCCGACCCAGAGCCCCTGCCTTCCAGAACTCACCTCCCCAAGTCAGCCCCTTCCTCCACGGGCAGCCACAGGGTGCTCCCTGCAGTCCCCTCTCCGGGAGACCCCGTCCCTCCCACAGAACGTAGAGTGCCTGTCCTGGGCAAGGAGGCCAGCGCCACCTCCTCTCCCTTCTGGGGGCAAATTCAGCCCCTGTGCAGCCGCGGACCGGATCTGCGGCTCTCAGGGAGGGGGGTTTACCTTGAGTCCTCCACAGACTGGACATGCCGAAAAGAAAGCTGGGGCTGGCCCCGCGTGGGGGCCGCCTGCTTCCCAGGGCTCGCTGGGGGCCGGACCAGGCGGTGTGGCCTCGCTGCCCTGGGGGGCCTCTGTCACCAGGCCCCGCCGTCTCGTGCCCAGCCAGCCAGAAGGACACCCGGCGGACGTCTGGCCGCCCAAGTCCCCGGCCGCACCGTCACCGGGGCTGCCCTGCGAGGCGGGGCTGTGGTCCCTGGGAGCCAGGCGCAGGCTGCGTGGTGTGTCGTAGTGGGGCCGCAGCGAGGTGGGCACCTGGTACTCGATGGCCCCGGGGGGGCAGGTGCACAGGCTGGGCTCAGGAGCCCCGGCTGCCGGCAGGCTGAGCAGCGAGCCCAGTTCGTCCGCAGCCCGCCACACGTCCAGGCTGCTGCCCGCGTAGGAGGACAGGCTGCCGGAGTAGGAGGAGTGGCTGCCCGTGGCGATGCCGCTGTCCGAGGAGCTCTGGCGGCCAACCTCCTGCAGCTGCCGCGGCCGCAGCAGCTTAGGGGGCGGCCTGGAGGCACCCAGCATGGCTTCCCCGGGGCCCTGGGCAGCTGCTGGCCTAGGCCCCTCCTGCAACGTGCTGGCCGATGACAGGGACTGCTCTGGCCACGAGGTGAGCCGGCTGCTGGCACTGACGTCCGAGTGACTGGCCTCCGAGGAAGAGCTGGATAGGTCCCCTGAGACAGAGCAGGAGGCCAAGGCAGGTGGGGGTGGCAGGGGGCTGGGGAGGGCTGAGGGTGGGGCTGACGCCTGGTGGATCCCCACGGGCTGGCACCTCCTGGCCTTACCCTCCCTTCCAGCCCCCAACCCCCTGGGGGCTGTCACAGAAACCTGGCTTCACCAGCGACAGGGCACCCTCTGCCCTCCCTGTTCCTCGTCCACTCCTGTCCTTTGTCTGCCCCTGTCCTCCTGCCGCCCACTCTCCTAGGCCCCGGGCCCCTCCCTTCAGCGCCCCTGCCAATACCTGGGTCCCAGCCTCCTCCTCTCTCCAGAGTCCCCACCCTCCCTGCCAAAGAGACCCACGCTCTGTGCCCAGCCATCCCGACTGCCTTCCAGGGCCGCCTGGGCAGCTTGCCCTCTGCATCGTCACAGCGCCAAGGCTGGCCTGCACTTCCCTTCCCTGAGAACTTCTCAGACCCTGCCAGCCTGGACACCTTGACTCACCCTCTTCCCTCACCACACTGGGTCCCTGCCCTCAGGGATGAGAACCACACCCGAAGCAGGTCCCAGGCTGCCTCCCTGCCAGGCCTGGCCTTGTGCGCCCATGGGAAAGCCGCTGTCATCTCTGCTGCCTGCTCTGCCTTCCAGGGTTCCCAGGTGGAAGCAGTTGTGAGCCACCCCCGGGAAGCCCAAAGCTCACTGCAAATCTGAGACCCCTTCTCCCGGGGCGGGGGCAGGGCAGAAGGGGAGAAGGCCGCTGTCCAGCTGGTGCACTCCAGGGTCAGGCAGTGATCAGAGGGCACCGGCCGGACCAGCCCACACTTGGCCCTGGGAACAGGTCGCCCATGCAGCCACCCTCCTGGGAGCACCGCAGCCCCTCACTGCACTGCCAGCCCCTGGCACCACCTCCTCTCCCCACGATGGCAACAGAGCCAGAGCCACCAGCAGCTGAGGAGGCATCTCTGCTCCTGGGCAGCCAGCTCACCTGCCTTAGAGCCTTCTGTCTGGGCACAGAAGGTAAAACCAACACTCGGGGTCTTGGTCTCCCCCAGGCACAAGCTGGTGGGCAGGAAAGGATTCAAAGGCTCTCAGAGCAGAACCACCGTTTCTGTCAGCACCTCAGACCAGAGTTTAGCAAATGTGGAATCACAAGTGCAGGAAGGAATGAATGAGCAGAGGGAGAAGGAAGGAATGAATAATGGGGAAGAAGGAAGAAACAAATGATCAGAGGGAGAAGGAATGAATGATGGGGGAGAAGGAAGGAATGAATAAGCAGGAGGGAGAAGGAAGGAATGAATGAGCATAAGGAGAAGGAAGGAATGAATGATGGGGAGAAGGAATGAATGAATGAGCAGAGGGAGAAGGAAGGAATGAATGATGGGGAAGAAGGAAGGAATGAATGAGCAGGAGGGAGAAGAAAGGAATGAATGATGGGGGAGAAGGAACGAATGAATGAGCATAAGGAGAAGGAAGGAATGAATGATGGAGAGAAGGAATGAATGAATGAGCAGGAGGAAGAAGGAAGGAATGAATGAGCATAAAGAGAAGGAAGGAATGAATGATGGGGAGAAGGAATGAATGAGCAGAGGGAGAAGGAAGGAATGAATGATGGGGAAGAAGGAAGGAATGAATGAGCAGGAGGGAGAAGAAGGGAATGAATGATGGGGGAGAAGGAACGAATGAATGAGCAGGAGGGAGAAGGAAGGAATTAATGAGCAGAAGGAGAAGGAAGGAATGAATGATGGGGGAGAAGGAAGGAAGGAATGAGCAGCAGAAGGAAGGAAAGAATGATCAGGGGCAGGAGGAAGGAATGAATAGGAAGGGAGACGGAAGGAATGAATGAGCAGAAGGGAGAAGGAAGGAATGAATGAGCAGAAGGGAGAAGGAAGGAATGAATGAGCAGAAGGAGAAGGAAGGAACGAATGAGCAGGAGGGAGAAGGAATGAATGAATGAGCAGGAGGGAGAAGGAATGAATGAATGAGCAGAAGGAGAAGGAAGGAATGAATGATGGGGGAGAAGGAATGAATGAATGAGCAGGAGGGAGAAGGAAGGAAAGAATGAGCATAAGGAGAAAGAAGGAAGGAATGATGGGGGAGAAGGAATGAATGAATGAGCAGGAGGGAGAAGGAAGAAATGAATGATCGGAGAAGGAAGGAAGGAATGAGCAGGCGGAGAAGGAGGAATGAATTATCAAGGGAGACCGAAGGAATTAATGAGCAGGAGAGAGAAGGAATGAATGATCAGAGGGAAAAGGAAGGAATGAATGAGTTGGGGGAGAAGAATGGAATGAGCAGGAGAGAGACGGAAGGAAGGAAGGAGCAGAGTGAGCCCGCAGCCCCCATGCGCGTATGGAAGCCTCCGGTGCTCTACCGCTGGAGCTTAGCCGAGGACCCACAGCCCAGTCCCGGCTCCAGCCCCACCTCCCGTGCCCGGCCCCGGCCCTACCTCCACTGCCCGGCCGGCCCATGGGGGACAGGAGGCTCAGCCGTTTCTCCAGCTGCAGGGCTTCCAGGGCTTCCTGGGCCACACGCTCCTCCACGGTTGAGGGTCCCGTGGGACTTGGGTCTGCAGCAGAGAGAAGAGTCCGTGGAGGAGGCAGCCCCACCTCCCACCCTCACATGCGGGCACCGGCCCAGCCTGACTCTGGGTTCCCCCTAAGTGGAGTGGCAGTCCTCTGGGAGCCCCACGCCTCCCCACACTTCAGCCCAGATGCTGGGCCTCACATGCAGACACCCACGCCGCCCCCATCCAGGCCACCAGCTGGTCCCTCCGCCCGTGGACGGCCCTGCCACCTGTCCACTCACCAGGGCCCCACGCCAGCCAGACCCCTCTTTCTCACCACCAGTGAGTCTTTCAATTTTCTGTTCCAAAAACGCCCGGCCCCTCCCCGGCCCCTAGTGCCCACCTTGCTGCAAGAGGTGCTGCCCGCCCCCCATCACGGCGTCCACTTCTCGCAGGCTCCCCTCCCCCTGGGGAAACGCACCCCCCACCTTGTGGTGGCCCCACTGCTCCCTGGGGCTTCGGATGGAGCCTCACACGGTGCCCAAGGCTCAGAGCTCAGTGGTCTGCGGACCCTCAGCCTCACCCAGGCCCTCCCCTCAAGGCTGCGTCCAGGAAGCCCCAGCCTCCACCCTCTCTGGTGATCGTCCATGTGTCCTGTGGGACTGGGTGGCCAGAATCCTCCCCTTCCTGCCCAGGCAGGGCGGGACCCTCGCTGGCCCCTCAATACCATGGCCCCGAACCTCAGCATCGCTGCCCGGGTCTTCAAGCCCCGGCCCGTGCTGGGATGTCCCAGGCACTCAGTGATGAGAATGCTGGGCTAAGGCTGCCTTGTCCAAACAGCGGGGCTCAGCCCCCCAACATCCACTGCACCCACGGCCACAGTTCTCTAAAGAGGCTTCCGGCAGGGAAGCCACAGCCACACCCACAAGAGCAAACCGACCCTGTCACACTCCAAGTGGCCTCCTCTGGGCCTCCAAGACATACCTCCTGCCACCCACCTCAGGGACACCTGCAGGACTGAGCCAAGACAGGTCCAAGAGCCTGCTCTCCCCAGAATTCAGGAGCAGAGGCAGCATGAAGTTTCGCCCAATCCTGCAGCATGCAGCAGACGGAAAGGTACAGCCCATGGCCTGGGACACGGAATCAGAGCCTGGGCGGGCAGAACCGAGCCTGGCAGAGGCTGGACGTCAGTCTCACCGCCCCACAGTCAGGCTTCCAGAGAAACAGAGAGACAGCAATGGTGCCCCTGTCCCGATTCATGTCTAGGCTGAAGAGGCCCCATCCCTGATAAGACACTGTCCTCTGCTGACACCTTCAGGCCACGCAGGTGCCCAGCTGGGGCCTTGAGCACAACAGGTCGCCCTGTTGGGACCTCAGAACCAGGCCCTCCACACGGCCAGGTGAGAACTCACTGCACTGGGCCCAGGAACCAAGAAGAGGCTGGAGGAGCCTCCCCCAGCCTACAGGTATGGCCGCCCCAAGGCACTGCTCCGGTTAGCCTGGGCACCGGCTGGCCCACGACCCTGTGGCCCAGTCTGTAGCACTGCCAGGGACAGGGATGGAGGCACAAGCCTCTCCTATCTCCTCCCCGCCGGTGCCTGGGAGGGTGGAAGGCGATGGCAGCCAAGGCAGTGCCAGCTCAGGCCCCACTCCCTCCTGACACAGCCTCCTGGCGGCCACCCGACTTGGCGGCTCCTGGCGCTGTCACAGACACATTCTGCCATGCGGGCAGGACAGCAGGCACCAGTCCTGGCTCCTTGGCACACTGAGGGTCCAGGCTGAAGACAAGCACAGTGACAGGACAGTTCCACTGCCCCTCGGCCCTGGGACCTTCTCACCAGGGCTGCCCCCAAAGCCACTGCCCTGTGGTTGGGATGAAGAGCAGCCCCTGGGTGACACCAGGGTCAGGACGCAGGACATGACTTCCTCCATTTCCCACTCAGTAGCCGGTGGAGCAGCAAGACGCGGACTGACTCCCAGTCCCACCATGCACCCCCTGAGCCTCTCACCCTCGTCTGCAAAATGGGGGTGCAGCAACAGGGCACCCCTGCAGAGGCTGGGCCAAGAAGGCAGCACGGAAGACCCCGGACCTCGGAGCCCTCCCCTCCTGCTCCTGGCGGGCCTGGCCGCCTCTGGGCCTCAGTGTCCCAGTGCAGAAGACCAAGGGCTGGACTTCCTGCTTCTCCGGTGGGTCTGGCCACAGCAGGCTCAGCACAGGAGCACGGCAGAAGCCTGGAGCGTGAGGATGTGGGGGGCTCTGCGGTGGGGCGCAGCTGCAGGCCGACGCCCTGAGTGCAGAGCTTTCTGAGAGCCTCCAGCTGACTCTGGCTCACAAGGACGTCCTGTGGAGTGAGGTCTGGGACTTCTGGGAAGGCCAACCCCTCCCGCCGCCAGCAATGGCCCTGCCAGGGGTGGTGGCGCCTGTCCTGTCTAGCGGCTGTCCCAGGCCGAGCCTCCCTGGCATCCTCTGCCCAGTGCTGCTTCCCAGCACAGCCCCGGCTCCCGGGAACAACCTGCAGGGAGCAGGAGGGAGCGGGGAGGCCTCCTCAGCCTCCTGCTGCCCCTGCCTGGCCCTGTCCCCGCCCCACGCCCTGCACAGCCGAACACACTGACCACACCATCCACAGATACTGGCAGCCGCTAGGCAGGAAGACCCCTGCAGGAGTGTGGCTGCACCACGCAGCGTGGCAGGGTGGCGGGGAGGGCCCTTGCCACGGGTGCCACCGCTCTCCTCCCAGGCTGTCCCCCACGTACCTGAGCTGGTGTGGGTAGCAGGCATTGGGGGCTGCGGCCAGAAGGGAGGCCGGGGTGCCCACGTGCTGCTCACCTCTGTCCCCCCAGTCACCCCCTTTACCACGCCCCGGCTGGGGTGCCAATGCCAGGAGGTGCCACCTGTGAGCTTGCTGGTCCCCCACCACGTGGCCTGGGCCTGAGCCTCACTTGGCCGTTGTGACAAGCGCTGCCCTCATGGAGCTAGAGGCGCGCTGGAAAGAGGAGGCCCTGCCCCGCACCTGCCCCGACACGGGGAGCCCCGCGGTGCCCAGGCACCAGCACCCCTCTGGGGTCCAGCAACCACATCCTGCGAAGCTGACACCACGCCTGGCCACAGTCACAGCCAAGGAAGTGCGGGTGGGACAAGGCGAGGCCCCTCAGTCCAATGTGCCCCAAGACCCCACAGCCGGGCGACCTCCTGAGGTGGCCTGGGGCCTAAACCCGGGGCTCAGGTGGAGCAGTCCCCATCCCAGCTGCGGAGTGACACCAGCCCCGCTGGCTGCCGAGCTCGGGCAAGGCCCTCCCGAGTCCCAGCCTGGGAGATGGTGGGGGAGTCGGAGGGTCCTCTTACAGCACAGGAGCAGTTACGGCGGCTGTCCTAGCCAGAAAGCTTTAGGCCCCAGCGTCCCAGCTGCTCAGACCCCCGAGGGAGAGCGCCTGCAGGGGCAAGCCCGGCTGATGGTCTATGGAAGCCCAGCCTGCAGGCCTGGCCCGGAGGGGGCTGATTCCTCAGCTGAGGGTAGGGAGGGCGGCCACCTGACCAGGTGACGAGTTGGCGTGGCCCCCGGCCCCAGGACACCCCCAGCCCACCGAGCGCATCCTCCCGGCTGCCAGGCCCCACACACACCTGGGAGAACCGGCCGCAGCCCGAAGGGGCCCTTGGTAGGGGAGATGCCTCGGACGATGCAGTCGAACAGGAAGCTGATCTGCTCCCCCTCGGCCGAGGACAGGAAGAAGACGCCAGCCCCTGCAGGGGAGGACAGAGACACGGTCAGCCTGCCCGGGGCGCGGCTGGGGACCCGCAGCGGGGGACGCAGGAAACTGGAGCAAACTCCGCCACAAGCCGCCAGGGACACCCTGCCTGGCCCTGCGAAGCCGGGTCCGCAGAGCCTCTGGACTCCCCAAGGACCCCGAGGCACCCGTCAAACTCGGTAGCTTCTCGAACAGCTTGGGCTGCTGGGCGCCAGGGTGAGTGCTGCCCCTCCTGTCCCAAGTCCTGTGTCCGGAGGACACGGCCCCAGAAGGAGGTGGGAGGGAGCGTCCTGCCTTGGACAGAGATGGTGGCCCCACCCACACACCTGCCTTCTGAGCTAGCTTGCGGGGTGCGGAGGTGGGAATGGGGGGATGGGGGTCGTGGCTGCCCTGCCACCTGGCAATTCCTCTGCCCCCAGGGCCCAGCCACCACCCCCCACCCAGCCATCTTGAGGGTGAATGAAGCTGCCGGAAAACCCCGGAGACATCAAGCAGGGTCCCCTCAGGGCTCCACGAGCCCGGCAGAAGGAAGCTGTGCCACCTGGAGCTGGGGTCACACCCCAGGACGGCCCCATTTGACCGCACTTCCTACCCCAGGGCTGTCGTGAGGGCTGCGGTTGACTGTTTGTAAAAGACAAGGCACAGCACCCGCCCACACATGCCACAACCGTCACGCTGGCCAGCGCCATGTCCTCCCCACCTCGGGTGGCCTTGCAGCCTCCTCAGTCATCTTTCAGGAGGAAGCTGGAGCTCCCAGTGTGGGGTGCAGCACCCTGGGCCAGCACCCACCGCTGCACCCCCACACCAGCCTGGGGTCACTGGCAGAGTGACGGAGCCCCAACCCGTGGAGAACCCCAGCTTCGAGTCACGGGGCTCTGCCCTCCCAGCCGGGGATGAATGACGCCCTGGTGGCCGCGTGAATGGGTGCCTAGGCTGGCTGTGCCCGCTAGACACTCCGCCTGGCGTCACCTCACAGGAATCCCGCCCGCTCTGGGGCCTCTGCCTGTTGCCCAAAGAGAGGCACGCCAGAGGCAAGGCGCCGGGGCGGGTGAGAGGGGTGGGGACGGGACATCTCGGCGTTATAACCCTGCTGCCCGCCACCCAGTCACACTCCGCCTTCACAGAGCCCAGGCTGCAGATTCCAGAGATGCAGAACTCGGGCCAGCCCTGACACGTGGCAACACTGCCGGCCCCTTGGCAGCCACTCCGGGCACGCGAGGGTGAGCAGCACCTCGTGCTGGGGATGCTTCCTTCCATGTAATGTCCCCAGACCAGGTCACCGAACAGCAACATTCCTGCTTTAGCGACGAGGACACTGAGGCCCAGAGAGGGCATGCCACCTGTCCACTGTCACACAGCCACGAGGTGGACTCAAGCCCCAGTACCCTGCCCCCCTGACATCCCCTGCCCCACACAGCTTCCCATCCTGCTATGGGTGAGGGGTGCTCCTGACCAGAAGCGGAGGTGGGGCGTGGAGGGGAGGCCAATACCCACCGTGATGCCGTCCAGGAGGCTGCCCCAAGAGGCTCAAAAGGGCCGGGATGGGGTGGGGGCCCCAAGCCAGGGAGGGCGGGTAGAGGAGAGCTTGCACCAGGCCCTGGGGGCAGGCAAGGAGAAGGCCAGCACTCTGTCTGCTGGCTGGCTCACTCACCCGGCCAGGCTGTCGCTCCCTGCCTGGCGGTCTGGCCCTCCCCTCCTCGCGAAGCCGGCCTGGCCCCAGCTCTCTCTAATCCTGAGCTTACAGACAGCTGGCAGTGGCCAAGGGACAATGCGTCCCCTGACTATAAAAGCCACATTCTGAAGGCGTGGAGCCGGCCCGCATTCCACGGGCTTCTTCAGAGCTTCACTCGCCCCGGAGACGCCATCGGCAGGCAAAGCCTGGAGCACAGCCACTGCCGGCCTCGCCCCTCACGTGCCCACCATCTATGCCAGCACCGCTGACATCAGGGGCCCTGGAGGAAGACACCCAGCTCCAGGGCTGGTCTGCTGGGTCTCGGGCCATAGCCTCCCAGGACGTGGCACAGCTGGGCTCTGGCTGGGCCCCCGGGTTCACGCTGCACCCCTGCCTGCAGGCTCCCTGCTCCCACCCAGCCCCCCCCACAGTGGGAATGCTCAGAGCTCCCTCTGCACACCAGATCGGCCTGACTACTCCACTCAGGAGGCCACTGTCCCCATTGCTCCACACCCCTGGCCACCTAGAATGCTCCCTGACCTGTGGAGACCCAGGCCATGTAACGCCACCTTTCATGATGCTTTTCGTGGCTCCTGGCCCCCTTCAGTCCCCTTCAGTCCCCTGACCCCGACAGCCCTGCTGTGATGCTGTCACGAGTGCCTCCTCTGGGGCAGAGCACCATCTGCTGCTGTCCCAGCCAGCAGCCTAAGCACCGGGCTGGCCGGGCACCCACGCCGTCTGAGGCCTCAGTGTCCCACCAAGCGCCTGACAACCAGGACCCCCAGTGCTGGCCTTGGGTGGGAACACATAGGCCGCCCCGGCCCCTTCCCCAGGACAGCATGGGTGTCTCCTGTTTGCCTGTGTGTTTGGGGAAAGGGAGGAAGGACAGGGACTTCCCCCCGCTGTATCACACAGGTGTGGCGGCAGCAAAGCCACCCGCTCTGCTTCTGCGACCCCTGCCCTTAGAAGCCGTCCCTTCTCGGGAGGCCAGTCCACCCCCTCCCCAGAATCGAGGCCAGCCAGTGATGCTCTGGCTATAAAGTAGCACGAGGGATGCTGTCCCAGCCCCACCCCAAGGCCATCAGAGGCCTGGCAGCTTCTGCCTCTGCCCTCTTAGAACCTATTGAGAAGTCCAGACTGTCCTGCTGGAGGGTGAGACTCCTGCAGGGAAACTGAGGCGACCCAGCCAACAGCCAGCATGATGCTTTCCTGGGCCTTTGGGCCCCACCACCGCCAAATGCCACTGCCCAAAGGACCCCCAGCAGCACCTCATGGGGCAGAGATGGGCTGCCCCCACGGCACCCTGTCCAGACCCCTGACCCACGGGTTCGCCAGCCAGGGAGCAGCTACCAGGTTCCGGAGTGTGTGTCACGCCGCAGGAAATGGCGTGGGAGACGCAGACACAGCATGGAGGCAGGCAGGACGGAAGCAGAAGGCCAGGGCCTGCGAGGCTCAGGGCAGCCCCCACTCTGGACAGAGGCTGGGGTTGCTGAGCTGCAGGCAAACCTCACCCACGTTACAGACGCACCTGCTTCTAAAGAAACACACCTCCAGTGAAAAAGCTGTTGCACGCAGGCCCAGAACTCATTCTCGAGAAAGAGAACGCTCCTCCATGCAGACACCCAGCTAGCCAATTCCATCTAAGGCGATTTCTGTTGCAATAATCTTGGGTACCCTCGCAGGTGCCCCTGGATGCCATTAAGTGCTCAGAATCCCAGCTCCTCAGAGAACAAACATCAATGTGTCACCCCTTGTTGACAAAGATCATGCACTGGAAGCGTCTGAGAAGATTCTAGAAAGCTTCTGTGCAGGCAGCACTGACCTGCCTGGCTTACGCTTTGAATCAGAAAGTTGGCCCAGCTCACCAAGCCCCTCGGGAGGTTATTCTGCTCAGGGTTTCCTGGCAGAGTAAAATGTCCACTAATTAGAATTTCACTTTTCTGTGCCCTGATTTTGTTAGAAGCAAAGTTCAGTGAAACAAGTTCATATTCAAAATTGAGTTTTAAATTTCATCTAACCATTTCATGCCCACTGGGATGACTATTATCAAAACAAGCCAAAAAAAAAAAAAAACCCAAATACAAAAATAAAACAAAAACAAAACAGAAAATGCCAAGTGTCAGGAAGGACGTGGAGAGGCGGGACCCTTGCCCGTGGCTGGCGGGAAAATGACAGGGCCGTTGCTGTGGAAGAGTCTGGCAGTTGCTCAAAACGTTGAACAGAATTCCCGTGTGCCCTGGCAGTCCACCTGTAGGTGTCCTTCCGAAGGACTGAAAGCAGCACCCACAGACATGTGAGAGCCCGATTCTCGGCAGCTGAAAGGCAGCAAGGGAGAGGCCACGTGTCCCTCCACGGAGGAACGTGCAGGCACATGGCCGCCCCTCAGTGTATCTGGGTGCCGCCTGGAGAAGGAGGCAGTTCTGATGTGGGCCACAAGCTTGAGGGACCTCAAGGACACTGTGCCAGTGAAACGAGCCTGTCACAGAGGAGCAGACCCTGTGTGACCCCACTCACATGAGGCTGTCCAACTCGCAGAGACAGGAATTCGAGTGGGTGTGCCAGGGGCTGGGGAGGGGGCTGGGGTGAGTGGGAGGATGAGAACGTTCTGTGGAGGGATGGCGGTGAGGGCTGCCTGCCAGCACAAATGCATGGGGCCGCCACGTCTCCCTCACCCTCTGCACCCTGTGCCTCTCACGGGCCACCATCTGGGCAGGACGAAGCTGCGCAAGGCAGAGCATCAGTGCCCCTGCAGCCGCCTCTCTGCAGGTCAAGGGCATCCCACAGTTACTATGACAAGGAATCCTGCACACATACACGCACAAACACACACACGCACAGGCTCATGCACACATGCACACGCAGGCACCCATGCATACATACACATGTATGCGTGCACACACATACACACAGGCATGCACACATGCACACATGCACAGGCACACAGGCACATGCACACACACATGCAGATGCACACACACACACACGCACACATGCACAGATGCAGACGCACACACGCCTGCACATGCAAACAGATGCACACACATGCACTCAGGCACACAGGCATGCACACATGCACACAGGCATGCCCACACGCAGGCACAGACACACATGCATGCAGGCACATGCATGCACACTCACATGCAAACACACGCATGTGCACACGTGCACACATGCACACACACACACACACATACTTCAAAATGCCTTAGGGGTGCAGCAGCCCCAGCACTGACCCCAAAGCTTCCTGAGCAGAGTGCGGCAGTGTCAGCCAAAGACAGGGCCTCCCAAAGACAGGGTCACCACGTCCCTGGGCTCCACCCAGA